TCATAGTGCTTTATTTGAGGTAGAGAAATCTTTTGTTAAGGTGGAGCTATGAAGAGATCCTTGTTCAAGGTGGAGCACGTACGTGAAGACATATTTTGATCACAGGTTGATTACGTGAATAATTGGGGTGTTCAAACTTGCGGACTTTGGATACTGACAAAGTTGAACCAGTTTAACTAAGGCTGTACCGGTTCAACTTGGACAGCGAGTTATTAGAAGTTGCGAGAAACAGTACATTTCCTAATTGGTTGGAAGCCAGAAGCCTTGGGAAAAAGCAAAAGATTTGGGGAAAACGTTGTACATCTATTTTAGAGTTGGAAACTATACAGTAACTCCTTATAGGTGTTGGAGATTCATATGGTAACTGTTTGTAGGCAAATTAATCCTTGTCCAACAAGGATTTGAGTTTGAAAACTCTATAAATAGATATAGGTATGAGAGAGAAAATTGTAGAAAGAAAAAGAGAGTCGAGATTGTGAGAGAGAGAATAGTATGTAATCAAGTTTTTGAAGTAAAGTTAGTCGTTCTTCGTCTGTGGACTAGGCAATTTGCCAAACCACGTAAATCTCATTTTTTTTGCTTGTGTGTGATTTTTTATCTGTTATATTTGTCAATTGTGTGTGTGAAACCCTAACAACTGGTATCAAAGCTATAACAGATGGAAAGTACATGGTCGAGAAGTTTAATGGAATACAAAACTTTAGTTTTTAGCAAGTTCAGATGCAGGATTTACTGATTCAGCGTGGTCTAGAAGACGCCTTGGGTAAGCAACCAGAAAAGACCGAAAATGCAGATTGGGCAAAGATTAACTTGAAGGCAATGAGTGCAATTCGATTAACATTAGCGGATGATATTGTGTATGATGTGATAAAAGAAGATTCAGCAACGGACATGTGGAAAAAGTTGGAGAATCTGTATATGGGAAAAAATCTCACCAACAGGTTAGTTTTAAAGCAGGAGTTGTATTCCTTCAAGAGAAAAGATGGGGTAAGCCTTCAACAAGATCTTGGTGAGTTCAACAAAATTATTTGTGATTTATCTAACATTGATGTCAAGCTAAGTGATGAGGATAAAAAAAAATTATTTTGTTAACGTCTGTACACTCTACCCATAAGTATTTATTCAATACTTTACTTTATGGAAAAGACACCATCTCGGTGGAACAAGTTAAGAGTACTTTGTTCTCTAATGAAAAGTTGAATGATGAGGAGAGTCGTGATGATCAGGCTTAAGTTCTTATTGCTCAAGAGAAAAAGAGATTTGGAGCTTCAAGAAACCTTGTGCCATTGTCAGAGAAAAGATGTTATAAGTGTGGAAGAAAGGGGCATATTTAGTGGTATTATCTAGAAAGAAAGGAGAGTGCATCCACTGCCATTGTTGTGTCTGAAGATACGAAAGAAGAGAGTGATAATGATGAAGCATTATCAATCATTGATAATAAGGGAAAAGCTAAGGAATTGATACTTGATTCTGCTTGTTCCTTTCATCTGTGTCCTCATAAATAATGGTTTGCTACCTACAAACTTGTAGGTGGTAAGGTATTTATGGGGAATAATGTCTCTTGCGATATTATGGGAATTGGAGCAATTAAAATCAAGATAACGAATGGTTTGGTAAGAACTCTAACGAATGTACGCCATATTCCAAGTGTTGGAAGGAATGTGATCTCTATGGGAGCATTGGATTCCAAAGGTTGCTGGTGTGAAGTGAAAAATGGATTGATGAAAATTAGAAGAGGGCCACGTGTTATGCGTTTGGGAAGGAAGGTCAATAATCTCTATATTCTGTTGGGAAATACTATGCTAGGTGGAGCAATTGTAAAGACAGAATGGAAGCCTGTTTCGAGATCCACTAGAATAAATAATCAAGAACAACAAAAGAATAAAGAAATCTTGACAATTGCAAGAGCACCAGCCTTTATCCCAAAAGCAAGAAAAGTTCAATTTGGTGATGCAAAAGTAGATTCCAAGTCTAATTATTTGAACTTCGAATTTGCTAAGAATAGATGAGTATAGTGGTGAGGCGAAGAAAAACAAGAAGAAGAATGATGAATTTGAGAAAAAGGTGGAGATTGTTAGAGTGTTTCTCAATTTAATCATAGTGCTTTATTTGAGGTGGAGAAATCTTTTGTTAAGGTGGAGTTATGAAGAGATCCTTGTTCAAGATGGAGTACGTACGTGAAGACATATTTTGATCTCGTGTTGATTACGTGAATAATTGTGGTGTTCAAACTTGCGGACTTTGGCTACTGACAAAGTTGAACCAGTTCAACTAGGGCTTCACCGGTTCAACTTGGACAGCGAGTTATTGGAAGTTGTGAGAAACAATACATTTCCTAATTGGTTGGAAGCCAGAAGCCTTGGGAAAAAGCGAAAGATTTGGGGAAGACGTTGTACATCTATTTTAGAGTTGGAAACTATATGGTAACTCCTTATGAGTGTTGGAGATTGATATGGTAACTGTTTGTAAGCAAATTAATCCTTATTCAACAAGAATTTGAGTTTGAAAACTCTATAAATAGATATGGGTATGAGAGAGAAAATTGAAGAGAGAAAAAGAGAGTTGAGATTATGAGAGAAAGAATAGCGTGTAATCAAGTTTTTGAAGTAAAGTTAGTCGTTCTTCGCCCGTGGACTAGGCAATTTGCCAAACCACGTAAATTCTTTTTTTGCTTGTGTGTGATTTTTTATCTGTTATATTTACCAATTATGTATGTGAAATCCAAACATCTACCTCAAGAGATATGTAACCAAACAAGCCCTAAACCACTCCAAAATCCAAAATTCCCCAAATGTGTGCAAGACCGGTACCAAATAAAATCTCTTAAGAAGTACTCCAACCTTGCCTTTTTAGCTCAACTCTTAATTCTCGCTCCGGCTTTAAATTTTTCATTTTTGTAATAGAGTGGTATGCCTCCCTATAATTTTGTTGTTCTCTAAATATAAAACTACCTTAACAAAGAAAACTAATTCTTCTTTAGTATATCCTCGTGCAAAGCCAATTTAATGCAAAGATTTATGTTATACTTTTTGCTTGTGGAGATGCAATAGGTGTGACAATAAAATCATCTTTTGAACTGTTACATGTATGAAAATCTGCGATGAGTTTTTATTTACTTATTTATTTTTTTTAAGGGCAAGAAAAACTTTAATTAGAGAAAATAAAATATGAAAACATCATAAAAATAAAAATAAAAATAAAAAATGTACTACACAATATCAGTCACAGTCCCAAAAAGAACATTTAAAATGGATAGAGGGAGTATCTCACTACTACTTCTGAATACATTTTGTCCCAGCTTCATGACCTCACACGGCAGCCTCTTGAAATTCATGTCAATGTTTTACAGCTGATTGTACCAATTTTATCTCAGCAAGCTCCTCATTTGCAAAATAAAACTGATTCCTGTTATTCCATATATGCCCGTATACACAAACAATTGTTCCCTATCTTCTTCCAAAAAATTAAGAATAAACTACACTGCCCTCTTGAGGTTTGTCATAATTATACTAACCTCTCTTATAATTTTTAAAATTACTTTAACCTTTCTTAAAAATAAAATCTTGTTACACAGACCTACCTTACCACTAACGATCTATTAAATAAACAGACTGACTTTGTTGCGTGCTTTGCTTAAATGCCCTCAAATAAAGAGATAATAACTGCAATACTAATATTTTCTTCTTCTCTTTTCCACGTACCATCTGTCTCTCATCTATCCAAGAACCAAACTACTATATCCCTCCCTCATCAAAAGTCTACAAGATTGCGATACACAAACATTCTATTTATTTATTTATATATATATATATATGCATATATAATCTGAAAAACTACTCCAACAACCCCTTGCTACAAAGAAGTGGTTGTTGGACGTCACGCCCAACACTAATAAATTATTTTTATTTTAATCATGGTAATTATTTTTTGGGATTCGGACCTAAGATTTGAAACAATTAAGGCCTGATTATTTCACTCAAACAACACTGTTACATCTACCACGGTAAATAATAAACACGTTCATTTTTTTTTTTTTTTTTATCTAAAATGATACCTATCTTGAACCTCCTACTTTAAAAGATTAAAAAATAATAATAATACTACTAAACGAGAGCCCTTAGCTGTAATATCAAAAAATTTAACCATTCAAATTTAAAAAAAAAAAAAACATTAAATAATAAGATTTAATTGACAATTTGTAGATTCAATGAATTATATCATCACTAATTATATATATTACCAAGGTAAGTTTGTTATAACTCAAGAACATTACCATCCTTCATTAAATTGTCTGATCCCAAATCAACTACCACACCTATTGAACAGCATCTTATCAGTTCTTACAATCCAAAGTTTTTTTGAAAAAACGGTTTTCGGGATTTATCTATTGAGTACATGCATTATAAAATTTCACAGCAATATGAACAGGTACATCAATATGTTTAGAGCCAAGCCTTAACAGTGAATACATACATATTCCGATTAATTCTCATACAAAACCATAAGGTTGCATGATGTGGTGTTAAAATATATATATATATATATATATATTGTGTCCAGAAAGTCAATTTTGTATTTTTTATTTTATTTTACATACTTCAAGTTACCAAAAAATAAAAAATATTCAGCTAAGCAATGAAATTAGAATGTGAAAGCAAAAGTGAATTCAAGCAAAAACAGGGACTAGTTAGCTTGAAAAGGACAACCAGAGTTGGTAAAAGGAGACTTGGTCATTGTCATGTTGTAGAATGCTCAACCAATACAATTGTGGCAAATGAAATTAAAAAATAGCAGTATCCATCTCTTAATATGTCCGTGAAACTATAATATCCTTCAAAAACCACCATGAATTCAGGGGCCAAAAATGGAGGCTGCGAACAATAGCCTCACAAACCTCCCTCCCTCCACCTCCATATAAGACCTCCGATGGACGCATATATTATTGCAATAATCCTTGGACATATCCAAGGTGGTGGTTTGGTAAAGCAAACCATCAAAACATGAAGGTCTCAGGCTACTTTCTTATCTTCACCCTTCTATTCTCTTCTTTCTCATCCTTTTCTTTGGCCTTAAGTAATGCTGAGGCATCCTATATTGCTCATCGGCAACTTACGAATCTTTCTCAGAACAATGATCTTTCCGATGGGGTCGGATACGACATTGACCCTAAACTGAATTTTGCAAATCCAAGGCTCAAGAAAGCCTATATTGCTCTACAAGCATGGAAAAAAGCAATTTCTTCAGACCCGCATAACCTAACTGGCAATTGGGTTGGTGAGAATGTGTGTGCCTACAATGGTATAGTCTGCAAACCAGCAATAGATGATCCCAAATTGACTGTTGTTTCGGGTATTTATCTTAGTCATGGTGACATAGCTGGATACCTTCCACTTGAGCTCGGCCTTTTGACAGATCTCACTACTTTCACAATCAATTCTAATCGTTTTTGTGGAATCATCCCGAATAGTTTCTCAAAACTTCAACATTTGGAAGAGCTTGATCTGAGCAATAACCAGTTCAACGGTTCATTCCCAGCTGTACTTTTGGAGTTGAATTCCCTTGTACACATTGACATCAGATACAATAATTTCGAAGGGTTAATTCCAACAAAACTCTTTGACAAGAAATATGATGTCTTGCTCTTGACTAACAATAGCTTCACAACTGCAATCCCTAGTCTCTGTGAATGGAAGTGTGGAAAAGCATCGTCACCTCCGACACCATCAAAGAGTTATACACCACCCCCCACATCCAACCCACCAACATCAACTCCGCCAACCCCTTCATCCCAATCACTACCTCCCCCGACATCAAACCCACCAACATCAACTCCACCAACACCTACCACCCAATCATCACCTCCTCCGACATCATCAACAAGTTACACTCCACCACCAACATTCAAGCCACCAACATCAACTCCACCATCCCCTACATCAAAAACATCACCTCCTTCGACACCATCAACATCAACTCCACCAACCCCTACTTCCGAAGCATCACCTCCTCCGATTCCATCAAATAGTTATAATCCACCCCCTACATCAACTCCGCCAACCCCAACATCCCAAGCATCACCTCCTCCTACACCATCATCATCAACTCCACCGACCCCAAGATCCACAGCAACACCTCCTCCGACACCATCAATGAGCAATACTCCACCTCCCACATCCAAGCCACCAACATCAACTCCACCAACGCCTACCTCACAATCATCACCTCCTCCGACACCATCAACATCAACTCCACCAACCCCTACATTCCAAACATCACCTCCTCCGACACCAGCAAAGAGTTATACTCCACCACCCACATCTAAACCCCCAACATCAACTCCGCCAACCCCTACAACCAAAACATCACCTCCTCCAACACCATCAACAAGTTATAACCCACCTCCCACATCTAAGCCACCAACATCAACTCCACCAACCCCTACATCCGAAGAATCACTTCCTCCGGCACCGTCAACATCTACTCCACCAAACCCAACATCTACTCCACCAAACCCAACATCCCAAGCATCACCTCCTCCAACTCAATCAACAAGTTACACTCCACCACCAACATCCAAGCCACCAACTTCAACTCCACCATCCCCTACATCAAAAGCAACACCTCCTCCGACACCATCAACATCAACTCCACCAACCCCTACTTCTGAAGCATCACCTCCGCCAACACCATCAAATAGTTATAATCCACCTCCCACATCAACTCCACTAACCCCTACATCCCAAACATTACCTCCTCCAACACCATCATCATCAACTCCACCAACCCCAAGATCCCAAGCGTCACCTCCTCCGGCACCATCATCATCAACTCCACCAACCCCATTATCCCAAGCATCACCTCCTCCGACACCATCAACGAGTTATAATCCACCTCCCACATTCAAGCCACCATCATCAACTCCACCAACTCCTTCATCCCAAGCCTCACCTCCTCCACCTTCCAATTCAACACCACCAAGCCCTTCAACCAACGTATCACCTCCACCAAAAGAAGAAACAACTTATATTCCACCTCCCACTTCCAAGCCACCAACTTCAACTCCGCTAAGTCCTTCACAACAAGCATCACCTCCTCCTCAAGAATATGACACTTATTCTCCACCTCCCATATCCAAGCCCCCAACATCAACTCCGCCGGCCCCTTCAATCCAAAAATCACCTCCTCCAACACCATCAACGGGTTATAATCCACCTTCCATTTCAATTCCGCCAACCCCTTCATCCCAAGCATCACCTCCTCCAGCACCATCAATGAGTTATACTCCACCTCACACATCAAAACCACCAACATCAACTCCACCAACCCCTTCATCCCAAGTATCACCTCCTCCGACACCATCAACGACTTACAGTCCACCTCCCACATCAAAGCCACCAACATCAACTCCGCCAACACCTTCATTCCAAACATCATATCCTCCGACACCATCAAAGGATTATATTCCACCTCCCACATCAAAACCACCAAAATCAACTCCACCAACCCCATTAACACAAGCATCAGCTCCTCCGACTCCTTCAAAGACTTATACTCCTTCTCCCACTTCTAACCCACCAAGTCACACAATAGTTTCGAGTCCTCCTAAACCTAACAAGGCATCTCCAGGCCCATCACCTACCCAAACACCAATTTCAGCTCCCCCTAAACCTAGCAAAGCATCTCCAAGCCCAGCTCCAACTCAAACACTAATTTCGGCTCCACCTAAACCTGGAAAAACAACTCTGGGCCCATCTCCAATTCGAACTCCAGTTTCGGCTCCTCCTAAACCTAGCAAAGCATCTCCAGGACCATCTCCAACTCAAACGCTAGTTTTGGCTCCTCCTAAACCTGGAAAAACATCTCCAAGCCCATCTCCAATTCAAACGCCAATTTTGACTCCACCTAAACCTAGCAAAGCATCTCCAGGACCATCTCCAACTCAAACGCCAGTTTTGGCTCCACCTAAATCTGTCAAAGAATCTCCCGGAACATCTCCGACTCGAACGCCAATCTCGGCTCCACCCAAACCTGTCAAAGCTTCTCTAGGCCCAGCTCCGACAAGAGCACCAATTCAAGCCCCTCAGAAACCTCCTAAGGCATCTCCATTACCAACTCCAACTTTAACACCAGTTTCTACTCCTCCTAAACGATCTCCAGCCCCAGCTCCAACTACAAAACTAAGTTTCCCACCTCAAAAACCACCTAAGCCATCTCCAGTTCAGGCTCCAACTCATACACCAATTTTAGCTCCCCCTAAATCATCTCCAATGCCGACTCCAACTCGAACACCAATTTCGCCTCCTCAAAAACCTCCTAAGTCATCTCCAGTTCCTGTTCCGACTCAAACACCAGTTTCACCTCCTCCAAAACCATCTCCAGTCCCAACTCCGGTTCGAACACCAGTTTCTCCTCCACATAAACCTCCTAAGCCATCTCCAACCCCAGCTCCAATTCAAATACCGGTTTCTCCTCCACAGAAACCTTCTAAGCCATCTCCAACCCCAGCTCCAGTTTTGACACCAGCTTCTGCTCCACCTAAACCAACTAAGCCATCTCCAGCTACAACTCCAATTTTGACACCAGTTTCGGCTCCTACTAAACCCACTAAGCCATCTCCAGTCCCAACTCCAACTTCCACACCAATTTTAGCTCCTCCTAAGCCATCTCCTGTCCCACCACCGACGAAATCGTATCAACCACCACCGCCTTCTACACCAGTTTCAACTCCTCCTAAACCATCTCCTGTCCCACCAACGGTTCAATCGCATCCACCAACACCAACACCCGCACGGTCATTAACTCCTCCTCCTACTCATGATGTTCCTTCACCACCGCCAAGACACGAGGACTTCATTCTCCCACCAAACATGGGCTCGCAATACTCTTCCCCACCTCCGCCAATGTTCCAAGGCTATTAAATAGTTTACTAGTAACTTTTTCCTTTTTTAATTTTTACCATTGATTGGTTATTCAATTATTAACCAATAAATTTTTTTATGTATTTAATTTTACCATTCATTTTGACTTCAAAATATATGAACAAACTCACGCTTCAACAAGAGCTTTTATACAATTGGTGTCATTTAAGTAACTATTTTATCTAGATGAAATTTATTGTCTATTGCAGCAGACAATGTGATTCCACGCGAACGTTCTTCGTGCGATACAATGCTAACTTAATTATAACAAGCAAATCTCTCATTATTATTTTTCATAATTAATTTTGACCACATTAAAATATGTTGCAAATTGATATTTGAAATAAGATATACCAAAAGAAAAAGAGTTTTTTTTTTTTTTCCTTTTTTTCAAATGAGTGTTTATTTGTTCACAAAATTAACAGTGCCTTTTATTATAGTTGTTTGCCACATTAAAACTGCAGGTACACTAGGCATAGAATTAAGAATACAAGAAATCATTAATTGTCACTTCAGATTTTACCAAACAATTTATGCTCGTTGGGCTACCACAACTTCTAAGATGATTTTTTCATATTAAAACAATATGCATTGGGTACTTGATGAAACCGTATAAACAACACTCCATTTGTTCAGACCAAAATGATTTCCTGAAAATATATTCTACATTAGGGCTCCGTTTGTTTGAATATAAAATATTTTACATTGAAACAAACGAGCAGTCTAGATGTCGTCTCACAAAGTTTCTTGATTGAGTAAAATGTAGGATGATTTTAATATAATATGCAATAATATTCACAATAAATGCCAAAATATTTAAGATGTATAAGATCTTTTGAGGATATAGGTGAGGACCAAATGCACAATGTCTACACAACCCTTTCCATTTTTAGAGAGAAGTAGATGAGATATGTTACAAGAGGTACTTGTCCCACATCGAATCTTGATGAGGAATTGAATGAGTATATATACATTGCGTGTTAATTCCACCTAATAGTTTAAATTTTTTAGTCGAATTGCGAAACATCAGGCCCATTAATATCAAAGTCAGACCCACATTTTACCATAACAGTCTTCTCTCAGCAAGGAAAATTGTTCTCTCTCTAAACTAACCATCTCTCACTCAACCATTCCTCTCCTCAAATCCTATCTTTCGTCTGAACTAACCCCACTTCCTTCTCTTAAAAAAAAAATTCTTCCCAAGACAATAAAAGGTTGTTGCTTTGTTTTTCCTCCACCCATAAGCTTCTTCGTACATTTCTTCTCGAAATTGAAATACTGGTTAAATGTACAGCTTATTGTTTCTTCTTTCTAAGAAGCTGGGCTTTTACCTCTGTTTCGGTTCTGTTGTCGCCACTTTTCTGTTCTCCTTTTGAGCTGTTTCAGCCAACTCTGGTTGGTTTTGTTCCTTGGCTTGTGCCTTCTAGGTTCTGTTGCTCTCACTGGGGTATGCCCATTTCAATCTTGTAATTCTCTTTTGTGTTTAATACTTATTTAACAAAAAAATGCCCATTTTCTGGTAAATGAACTGTTCGAAATAGAATGAAAAGACTGATAAGAGTGATGGAGAGGTGTTGGCTTCATGCAAATTCAACTATTTAAATAAAAAATTAAAAAAAATAAACAAACAAACAAACTGGACAGAGGATTGGGATTTTGATAGTCTGAATAGCGATAGTTTTATTTTTCAAACACTGCTATGAGCGTGCTCTGGCCTAAATTTTCTCTACTACTTGTACACCTTCAAGCCTTCGCTTTACATCTAGATGCTATGGAGTTTGAGGACTGGTACTGCATGCCACTGCTCCAGTGTTTAGAAAAAAGAAAAAGGAGTTACAAATGATTGCTTTTTCTTGACTTTAAAAAGTATGCCACTGCTCGGTCCTCTCTGGCCTAGTGGATTATTTTTTTGGGATTATTACACATTCTTGGAGGTTTGGACTGTTATTACCGTCCTCCTTCCTACAATCCAAGCCCCTCTAATTCCAATTCTGCTGCTCTTCCCCGTCCCAATTGAATGAAATATTGACCACCATAGCACCATGAGGAAAGACAGATGTGACAAGGAATGGATCATCCCACCGTGAACAGAGTTTGCTAGGAAAAAGTCACAGAACATAATTGAATAGCCAAACTTTCTGACCGGGTGCAAAAGTCTTATGAATGATGTACTTATCATTTACCATTTCATTGAATAAAAGTAGCGATTTTTCCAAAACAAGAAATTGACCAAATTGTTAACGTGAACATTAAAAAAAAAAATACTATTTATTAGACCAAACTACCCTTACTATTTTCGTGTACCACTTTTGTGTGTATAAGTACAACTTCTGTGCATAAAAGTATCACTTTTTGTGAACAAATACACTCTTTTTATTATATGTATTGTTTACATGACATTATATTTTATTTTAGGGTAGTTTCACTTGTATCTCCCCCACTTTTCACTTTTTGTTTGACTGAATGGAAGGAATAGGATAGATGGGATGGCATTTTTTTCTTTTTCTTTTTTGGTTGAAAGGAAGGTAATGAGAGTTTTTACCTACGAGAAATCAGTTTGATTAACAAGTGATTTTGTAAGTAATTAAAAATTAAAACTAGTATTACATTTTTGTATGGTAATTTTTCTTTCTTCCATGAAAGACGAGCTACCTCCCTCTCTTTCCTTCCTTCAAACTAAACAAGGAAAACTTTTCTTTTCTTTTTTTTTATCCTTCCCTTCTTCCATCCTTCCCTTCAACCAAACATAACATTAGTGCCCATTTAGTATGTCTGTCAACAATTTTATTTTAAAAAAATTCATCACGATAACAAGAAGGTGTAGTTATAAATTTTTATTGTTTGAAAACTTCAGCTTGCAAGTGTTATTATTAGTTTTATTGTGATAAATGATGATTGCTATCACAAGTCAGACACTTGTTGAGAAAAGGTCAAGAGTACCATCACCTTAACTTGGGGCATGACAGTTTAGTAAGCCTAGGCCCAGTCAGAAGGGTGGTCAAAGAGGACGATGTTGGGTCCCGGATGATTGTGGCGACGCCGTGGGTGAGTGACTGTAGGCGGATGTGAAACACTGAAAACTACCATGCTCGAAGGTTACGAATGCAAAATCCCACATTGCCTAGGTGAAGTTGAAGTATTTATATGTGTGTTAGTGTCGTCTCCAAAAGGTATGGGACTTTTTGGGATAAAATTGAATAACAAAACCGTACAGTCTTGAGTCCAAATCAGACAATATCATACATGGTGAATTAGACTATTACAAACGGTATCATAAGTTTTAATTGACAATTTTAAGACTCAATTAAATTATATTGTCACCGAGTATTACCAAGGTAAATTTTCAGAAAGTCTTGGTTTTCCACGATGTGGCAAATAAAAAGAAACTGCATAAACATGTAAAATTAAATTAAAAATATTAGAATCTGAAAGCAAAAGCGAATTCATGTAAAAACAGGGATTAGTTGAATTGAAAAGGACAACCCAGTTGGTTAAAGGAGACTTGGTCATTGTCATTGTTTAGAATGCTCAACCAATGTAATTCTGGCAAGTGAAATTAAAAAATTAGCAGTAACCAAATCTAAATATGTCAGCGAAACTACAGAAGCTTTCAAATTGGGCCAATTGTTAAAAAACCACCACGAATTCAGGGGCCAAAAATGGAGGCTGCGAATAATAGCCTCACAAACCTCCCTCCCTCCACCTCCATATAAGACCCTCCGGTGGACGCATATATCATTGCAATAATCCTTGGAAAAATCCAAGGGGGTGGTTTGGTTTGGTAAAGCAAACCATCAAAACATGAAGGTCTCAGGCTACTTTCTTATCTTCACCCTTCTATTCTCTTCTTTCTCATCCTTTTCTTTGGCCTTAAGTAATGCTGAGGCATCCTATATTGCTCATCGGCAACTTACGAATCTTTCTCAGAACAATGATCTTTCCGATGGGGTCGGATACGACATTGACCCTAAACTGAATTTTGCAAATCCAAGGCTCAAGAAAGCCTATATTGCTCTACAAGCATGGAAAAAAGCAATTTCTTCAGACCCGCATAACCTAACTGGCAATTGGGTTGGTGAGAATGTGTGTGCCTACAATGGTATAGTCTGCAAACTAGCAATAGATGATCCCAAATTGACTGTTGTTTCGGGTATTTATCTTAGTCATGGTGACATAGCTGGATACCTTCCACTTGAGCTCGGCCTTTTGACAGATCTCACTACATTCACAATCAATTCTAATCGTTTTTGTGGAATCATCCCGAATAGTTTCTCAAAACTTCAACATTTGGAAGAGCTTGATCTGAGCAATAACCAGTTCAACGGTTCATTCCCAGCTGTACTTTTGGAGTTGAATTCCCTTGTACACATTGACATCAGATACAATAATTTCGAAGGGTTAATTCCAACAAAACTCTTTGACAAGAAATATGATGTCTTGCTCTTGACTAACAATAGCTTCACAACTGCAATCCCTAGTCTCTGTGAATGGAAGTGTGGAAAAGCATCGTCACCTCCGACACCATCAAAGAGTTATACACCACCCCCCACATCCAACCCACCAACATCAACTCCGCCAACCCCTTCATCCCAATCACTACCTCCCCCGACATCAAACCCACCAACATCAACTCCACCAACACCTACCACCCAATCATCACCTCCTCCGACACCATCAACAAGTTACACTCCACCACCAACATTCAAGCCACCAACATCAACTCCACCATCCCCTACATCAAAAACATCACCTCCTTCGACACCATCAACATCAACTCCACCAACCCCTACTTCCGAACCATCACGTCCTCCGATTCCATCAAATAGTTATAATCCACCCCCTACATCAACTCCGCCAACCCCAACATCCCAAGCATCACCTCCTCCTACACCATCATCATCAACTCCACCGACCCTAAGATCCACAGCAACACCTCCTCCGACACCATCAATGAGCAATACTCCACCTCCCACATCCAAGCCACCAACATCAACTCCACCAACGCCTACCTCACAATCATCACCTCCTCCGACACCATCAACATCAACTCCACCGACCCCTACATTCCAAACATCACCTCCTCCGACACCATCAAAGAGTTATACTCCACCACACACATCTAAACCCCCAACATCAACTCCGCCAACCCCTACAACCAAAACATCACCTCCTCCAACACCATCAACAAGTTATAACCCACCTCCCATATCTAAGCCACCAACATCAACTCCACCAACCCCTACATCCGAAGAATCACTTCCTCCGGCACCGTCAACATCTATTCCACCAAACCCAACATCCCAAGCATCACCTCCTCCAACTCAATCAACAAGTTACACTCCACCACCAACATCCAAGCCACCAACTTCAACTCCACCATCCCCTACATCAAAAGCAACACCTCCTCCGACACCATCAACATCAACTCCACCAACCCCTACTTCTGAAGCATCACCTCCGCCAACACCATCAAATAGTTATAATCCACCTCCCACATCAACTCCACCAACCCCTACATCCCAAACATTACCTCCACCAACACCATCATCATCAACTCCACCAACCCCAAGATCCCAAGCGTCACCTCCTCCGGCACCATCATCATTAACTCCACCAACCCCATTATCCCAAGCATCACCTCCTCCGACACCATCAACGAGTTATAATCCACCTCCCACATCCAAGCCACCATCATCAACTCCACCAACTCCTTCATCCCAAGCCTCACCTCCTCCACCTTCCAATTCAACACCACCAAGCCCTTCAACCAAAGTATCACCTCCACCAAAAGAAGAAACAATTTATATTCCACCTCCCACTTCCAAGCCACCAACTTCAACTCCGCTAAGTCCTTCACAACAAGCATCACCTCCTCCTCAAGAATATCACACTTATTCTCCACCTCCCACATCCAAGCCTCCAACATCAACTCCGCCGACCCGTTCAACCCAAAAATCACCACCTCCAACACCATCAACAAGTTATAATCCACCTCCCACGTCAATTCCGCCAACCCCTTCATCCCAAGCTTCACCTCCTCTAGCACCATCAACGAGTTATACTCCACCTCGCACATCAAAACCACCAACATCAACTCCACCAACCCCTTCATCCCAAGCATCACCTCCTCCGACACCATCAATGAGTTACACTCCACCTCCCACATCAAAGCCACCAACATCAACTCCGCCAACCCCTTCATTCCAAACATCATATCCTCCAACACCATCAACAGGTTATATTCCACCTCCCACATCAAAACCACCAACATCAACTTCACCAACCCCATCAACACAAGCATCACCTCCTCCAACACCATCAAAGACTTATACTTATACTCCTTCTCCCACTTCTAATCCACCAAGTCACACACTAGTTTCGAGTCCTCCTAAACCTAGCAAAGTATCTCCAGGCCCAACTCCAACTCAAACACTAGTTTCGGCTCCACCTAAACCTGGAAAAACATCTCCAGGCCCATCTCCAATTCGAACGCCAGTTTCAGCTCCTCCTAAACCTAGCAAAGCATCTCCAGGACCATCTCCAACTCAAACGCTAGATTCGGCTCCACCTAAACCTGGAAAAACATCTCCAAGCCCTTCTCCAATGCGAACGCCAATTTCGGCTCCTCCTAAACCTAGCAAAGCAACTCCAAGACCATCTCCAACTCAAACGCCAGTTTCGGCTCCACCTAAATCTATCAAAGAATCTCCAGGAACATCTCCGACTCGAATGCTAGTCTCGGCTCCACCCAAACCTATCAAAGCTTCTCCAGGCCCTGCTCCGGCACGAACACCAATTCAAGCCCCTCAGAAACCTCCTAAGGCATCTCCATTAGCAACTCCAACTTTAACACCAGTTTCTACTCCTCCTAAACGATCTCCAGCCTCGACTCCAACTATAAAACTAAGTTTCCCACCTCAGAAACCTCCTAAGCCATCTCCAGTCCCGGCTCCGACTCATACACCAATTTCAACTCCCCCTAAATCGTCTCTAGTCCCGACTCCAACTCAAACACCAATTTCTACTCCTCAGAAACCTCCTAAGTCATCTCCAGTTCCGGCTCCGACTCAAACACCAGTTTCACCTCCTCCAAAACCATCTCCAATCCCATCTCCAGTTCGAACACCAATTTATCCACCTCAAAAACCTCCTAAGCCATCTCCTGTTCCAGCTCCAGTTCAAGCACCGGTTTCTCCTCCGCAAAAACCTTCTAAGCTATCTCCAACCCCAGCTCCAGTTTTGACACCAACTTCTGCTCCACCTAAACCAATTAAGCCATCTCCAGCCACAACTCCAGTTTTGACACCAGTTTCAGCTCCTCCTAAACCCACTAAGCAATCTCCAGCCCCAACTCCAGTTTTGACACAAGTTTTGGCTCCTCCTAATCCCACTAAGCCATCTCTAGTCCCAACTCCAAGTTCCACACCAATTTCAGCTCCTCCTAAGCCATATCCTGGCCCACCACCGGCACAATCGCATCAACCACCACCACCTTCTACACCAGTTTCAACTCCTTCTAAACCATCTTCTGTCCCACCTTCACCATCGCCAAAACACGAGGACTTTATTCTCCCACCAAACATGGGCTCGCAATACTCTTCCCCACCTCCGCCAATGTTCCAAGGCTATTAAATAGTTTACTAATAACTTTTTCTTTATTTATTTTTACCATTGATTGGTTATTCAATTATTAACCAATAAATTTTTTGTATGTATTTAATTTTACCATTCATTTTGACTTCAAAATATATAAACAAACTCACTCTTCAACAAGAGCTTTTATACAATTAGTATCATTTAAGTAACAATTTTATCTAGATGAAATTTATTGTCTATTGCAGCAGACAGTGTGATTCCACATGAATGTTCTTCTTGCGATGCAATGCTAACTTAATTATAACAAGCAAATCTCTTATTATTACTTTGTATAATTAATTTTGACCACATTAAAATATGTTGCAAATGAATTTTTGAAATAAGATTTACCAAAAAAAGGAATTTTTTTTTTCCTTTTTTTCAAATGAGTGTTTATATTTGTTCACAAAATTAAGGGTGCCTTTTATTCTAGTTGTTTGCCACATTAAAACTGCAGGTACGCCAGGCATAGAATCAAGAATACAAGAAATCATTAATTGGGTCACTTCAGATTTTTCCAAATAATTTATGCTCGTTGGGCTACCATAACTTCTATGATGATTTTATCATATTAAAACAGCATGCATTCAGTACTTGATGGAATCGTATAATCAACACTCCATTTGTTCGGCCAAAAAAGATTTCCTCGGAATTTTTTTTTTTTTTTTTTTCAGATAAATTTTTTTTTTTTTTTCCGATTTTTAAAAAAGGTTTAAGTAGAAGTTGAGATCAAGTGTATCAGGTGGGGCATGTAAAATAGTTTGCCGAAAATTGACGAATAAGTTATTTTTATTAAATTTTAATTTTTTTTTTCTTCATAAATATTTTACGACAACTAAATACCAAATAAAAAATAAAAATTATTTTTCAAAAATTATTTCATGCTCAAACAAACAGAGCTGTTTCACAAAGTTTCTTCACGAGTATATGTGCACTAATTCATGCATGGTAAATATATGTGTCTAGACTCTGGAGTCTAAACACACAGATGACAAATTTGTTTATATGCATATATATACGCTAACATAAATATTTAATGTATGCTTACACACATTTACATGCATTTACGCGCAATTTGTATCCTTTGAATGCATTGCCAGACTTTAAGATTATCTTTTAAGTCAACTTCTTACTCCAAAAAAATCTTATAGTTCGCTTACAAGTTTAATTTAAAGTACGAACACTAGATTTTAGTTGTTATGAAGCTGAGCTATTGCCACTGAAATTTTTTTATTTATATTGTACAACTTTAATACGTAAAAATCAATATTAAAAATACCACATAAATTTTATATGTAAAAAATTAATATAAATTTATGAATCAACTTTAATACCACATGAAGCATTATAATATAAATAAATAAAACACGTGTTAATTCATAAATTCAATCGAAAACATACCTGGTATATGAAACGATGTTTTTAACAAATCTCCAATTAAAGAAGCATTGAATCTGCACATAGGCTCTTGACTAGAAAGGTTGAATATGAAATTACATTTTGAAAATCACTCCACTATTTATAGAGTACAATAGGTTACAACTTTTGACTCTAAAAGGCACCTTTATTATATAGTATATGACTTTTTGATAAATGGGTGTAACTTTTAGTTTCCAAAAGTCACTTTTGAAGAGTTTAACTGTTTTCATAAGGTTACAATAGGAAACATTTTATGACATAATGCTATTTACAGATGACATAATATTATATAAATAAATATAAGACTTAGCAAAAAGATTAATTATAAATACGGAGAACGGTGTTAGAATCATGAGGCCTCAAAATTAGTAAAATTAAAAAAGAATATATAGAGTGTTAAGTTCCATAAAGTAACAAACAATAACAATATAAATATTATGATTCAAGATCAAATATTTAATCAAAGAAGAGGGGAAGGAGTTCGAGCCCTGGCGTGGACAAAAAAGTGTGTGTGTTTGCTTTACCATCAAAAAAAAAATTTAATTTAATAAAAAAAAAACTATGGATCAATATTACAAAAAGATTAAAGCTGAGTAGACATTACGAAGGAAAGCTAATGGTATCCTCTATGACAAATGAATACCAAATGAATCAAAAGAAATTTTCTATAGAATAGTTACTAGGTATTACAAGAGAAACTTGTCCCACATTGAATTTGGATGGGGGTTGAAGTGTGTATAAATGGGTAGGTATATAGTACTACCCAATAATTCAAGCTTTTGGATAAATGGATAAGCGTCTACCCATTACAATTGGTATCAGAGCCAGACTCAGTCCTTAATCCGGTGTCGTGCAAAGCGTCAAGCCCGGAGGGCGTCCGGATCTGTCCCCGAGTAGGCAAGGTGGTTCGATCGCAACGACAACGTTACGCAGGTTTGGGTGGGGAAGAATATTACAAGTGAAACTTGTCCCACATCGGATTTGGATGGGGATTGAAGTATGTATAAATGAGTAGATATGCAGCACTACCCAATAATTCGAGCTTTTGAGTAAATGGACAAGCATCCACCCGTTACACTAAGCTAGCAATGTTGTATACAGCATAGTGTTGGACATAGAAAAAGACAAAATACAATACATTAATATAGCAAAAATGAGGATATTCTGGATGATAGATGAGATAAATAATGAGCTTACGCTAGGCTGTAGCGCTTATGAACTTCAATGGTATGGGCATATTCAACGTAAATTGATGCACTTGTTAAAAAATGAAGGGGACGTAAGGTGACCCTGCTTTTTCAGGGTAAGAAGGGGTAGAGAAAATGCCTCGAGCCAATGTTCGAGTACCAAGCGTTACGGCGCTGAAGTAACCCATGCCATACTCCCAGGAAAAGCTTGAACGACCTTCTCCAAAAGGGTACCTGTACCCGAAACCGACACAGGTGGGTAGGTAGAGAATACCTAGGGGCGCGAGACAACTCTCTCTAAGGAACTCAGCAAAATAGCCCCGTAACTTCCGGAGAAGGGGTGCCCCCTCACAAAGGGGGTCGCAATGACCAGGCCCGGGCGACTGTTTACCAAAAACACAGGTCTCCGCAAAAAAAAAATTTAATTGGATCTATGTCCAATGGATCACACCTACCAAGAAAAAATATTTTGTTTTGGTTCGACCTGTAGTCGCATATGAAATAACGGACAGTATAAATTTAGCAACACTTTCCCCCCCGGATCAGTTGCAGGAAAGGGATAATGTGCAACTTCGAGTTGTCAATTATATCCTTTATGGAAATGGCAAACCAATTCAGGGAATTCCTGACACAAGTATTCAATTAGTTCGGACTTGTTTAGTGTTGAATTGGAGCCAAGACAAAAAAAAGTTCTTATATCGACGAGGCCCATGCTTCTTTTGTTGAAATAAGGACAAATGGTTTGATTCAAGATTTCCTAAGAATCGACTTAATGAAGTCCCCTATTTCGTATACCAGCAAAAGGAATGATCCATCAGGTTCAGGATTGATCTCTGAAAATGGATCGGATCGCACCAATATCAATCTGTTTTCTTCCATTTATTCCAAGGCAAAGATTCAACAATCCCTTAACCAAAATCAAGGAACTATCCATACGTTGTTGAATAGAAATAAAGAATGTCAATCTTTGATAACTTTGTCATCATCCAATTGTTCTCAAATGGGTCCATTCAACGATGTAAAATATCAAAATGTGATAAAAGAATCAATTAAAAAAGATCCTCTAATTCGAATTAGGAATTTGTTGGGTCCTTTAGGAACAGCTCTTCCAATTTATAATTTTGATTCATTTTACCATTTAAATTTAATAACTCATAATCAACTCTTGGTAACTAACTATTTGCAACTTGACAATTTAAAACAGGCTTTTCAAGTACTTAAATATTATTTAATGGATGAAAATGGGAAATTTTATAATCCCGATCCCTGCAGTAATATCTTTTTGAATCCATTAAATTTGAATTGGTATTTTCTCCATCACAATTATTGTGAAGAGACATCTACAATAATTAGTCTTGGACAGTTTATTTGCGAAAATGTATGTATAGCCAAAAACGGACCACACCTAAAATCGGGTCAAGTTCTAATTGTTCAAATTGACTCTTTAGTAATACGATCAGCTAAGCCTTATTTAGCTACCCCAGGAGCAACTGTTCATGGCCATTATGGTGAAACCCTTTACGAAGGAGATAAACTAGTTACATTTATATATGAAAAATCGAGATCTGGTGATATAACGCAGGGTCTTCCAAAAGTAGAACAGGTGTTAGAAGTACGTTCGATTGATTCAATATCGATGAATCTAGAAAAGAGGGCTGAGGGTTGGAATGAATGTATAACAAGAATTTTTGGAATTCCTTGGGGACTGAGCTAACTATAGCGCAAAGTCGTATCTCTTTGGTTAATAAGATCCAAAGGGTTTATCGATCCCAGCGGGTGCAGATCCATAATAGGCATATAGAAATTATTGTACGTCAAATAACATCAAAAGTCTTAGTTTCAGAAGATGGAATGTCTAATGTTTTTTCACCCGGAGAACTAATTGGATTGTTGCGAGCGGAACGTATGGGGCGTGCTTTGGAAGAAGCGATCTGTTACCGAGCCATCTTGTTGGGAATAACAAGAGCATCTCTGAATACTCAAAGTTTCATATCTGAAGCAAGTTTTCAAGAAACTGCTCGAGTTTTAGCAAAAGCCGCTCTACGGGGTCGTATCGATTGGTTGAAAGGCCTGAAAGAAACGTTGCTCTGGGGGGGAAGATACCCATAGGTACCGGATTCAAAGGATTAGCGCACCCCTCAAGGCAACATAACAACATTCCCTTGGAAACAAAAAAGAAGAGCCTATTCGAGGGGAAAATGAGAGATATTTTGTTCCACCACCGAAAATTATTTGATTCTTGCCTTTCAAAGAATTTCCATGATACATCAGAACAATCATTTATAGGATTTAATGATTCTTACAAAGAACGGACGCATTCTTTGAACCTTAACTATCTGTATTTGGTCCGGTCATTTGATTTGGTAATAGTAATAAAGCTAATAACGAATAGAAAAGAATAACGGCTTGGATCGTGTATCTACGGACAATCTATGATAGAAGAGAAGGTTCCATCGGAACAATTATTTATTTCAGGATACCTCGTCTCTTTTTTTAAAAAAAAAAAGGAGGAAGTGTGAGGAAAAATGACAAGAAGATATTGGAACATCAATTTGGAAGAGATGATAGAGTCGGGAGTTCATTTTGGCCATGGTACTAGAAAATGGAATCCTAGAATGGCACCTTATATCTCTGTCAAGCGTAAAGGTATTCATATTACAAATCTTACTAGAACTGCTCGTTTTTTATCAGAAGCTTGTGATTTGGTTTTTGATGTAGCAAGTAAGGGAAAACAATTCTTAATTGTTGGTACCAAAACTAAAGCAGCTGATTCAGTAGCACGGGCTGCGCTAAAGGCTCGGTGTCATTATGTTAATAAAAAATGGCTCGGTGGTATGTTAACAAATTGGGCCACTACAGAAATGAGACTTCATAAGTTCAGGGACTTGAGAACGGAACAAAAAACGGGGAAACTCAACCGTCTTCCGAAAAGGGATGCCACTATGTTGAAAAGACAATTATATCACTTGCAAACGTATCTGGGCGGGATTAAATATATGACGGGGGTACCCGATATTATAATCATTGTTGATCAGCACGAAGAATATACGACCCTTCGAGAATGTATCACTTTGGGAATTCCAACAATTTGTTTAATTGATACAAATTGTGACCCGGATCTCGCGGATATTTCGATTCCAGCTAACGACGATGCTATAGCTTCAATCCAATTAATTCTTAACAAATTAGTATTCGCAATTTGTGAGGGGCGTTCTAGCTATATAAGGAATTCTTGATTAATAATAAGATAAATAAATCACTTTGGAAACTCCATGGATTTAGAAAATTGGTTACTATTTATGAATCTAAAAAAAGAGAAAAATATAACTGGGGATATTATGTGATTAATTGGTATTCAAAATATATGAATCAAGTAGACAAGTTGAGAAAGAGATGGTTGAATCAAAATAATTTCGTTTAAAGTTCGATTTCTGTCAGAGGGTAATATGAATGTTCTATCATGTTCTATCAACACACTAAAAGGTTTATACGATATATCCGGTGTGGAAGTAGGCCAACATTTCTATTGGAAAATAAGGGGTTTCCAAGTTCATGGCCAAGTACTTATTACTTCTTGGGTTGTAATGGCTATTTTATTAGGTTCAGCCACCATAGCTGTTCGGAACCCACAAACCATTCCGACTGGTGGTCAAAATTTCTTCGAATATGTCCTTGAATTCATTCAAGATATGAGCTGAAGATACAGATCAAGAAATTGAATTTCAATTATTTGTGGAAACATATCAATTGGTAGAACCGTTGATAAAAGAAAGAGATGTTGTGTATGAATCACTCACATATTCTTCTGAATTATATGTATCCGCGGGATTTCCTCACACTTCCTCCTTTTTTTTTCAAAAAAAAGAGACGAGGTATCGTGAAATAAATAATTGTTCCGATGGAACCTTCTCTTCTACCGTAGATTGTCCGTAGATACACGATTAATTCGAAACAATTTTCAAAAATTAACTCCAAGAGTAGTATAGTGTATAATAGTGAATAATGAAAAAAAGGGAATTCATGTGGTGAATCCTATCCATATGAAATAAAGGGAATGAAGATGATTATGAAAAATTGTGTCCAAAACTGAACGATTAGATGTTGTGATAAACCAAAAGCAAAATGAGGAAAATTTTAAAATAAATATTTTTCGCTAAGCAATAAAGTCAAAATCTTAAAGCAAAACATACCATATATAGAAACATAGTGCAAGAGTAAAAAATAAAAAATAAAAAATAAAAAAATAATTAAAAAAAAATAAAATAAAAAAAAACAAACCATGCATAATAAAAATTACCAATTTCTCTAGAACAAACAGTATAAAGAAAAAACTAAAACTAAAACAAAAAAAAAAATTATAATTTTACTTCTAGGAATTTTTCCTATTTTTTTCCTGATAATATCATTGGTCCAATTATTCAAGGCAAACTATGTTAAAAGGTGAAATTGGTATTTTAACAAAACAAATTCGTTAAAAGAAGACCCTGTCATATTTAACTTTTTACTTTACCAGACATAAATCTTTGCTGGCACGGTCCGTAAAATTAGGAGCACCTTCAAATTTTATGCAATACATTAAACAAATTGGTTAAAAGATGAAGCTACTACCGGTAGTCACTCAACCACCCTCATTCCACCACATTATAAGACCCTCCACTAGATGCATAGATGATAGCAAGCAGCAGCCTTGGAATAAACCAAGGTGGTGGTTTGGCATTGCAAACCATCGAAACATGAAGGTCTTATCCTACTTTCTTGTTCTCACTCTTCTGTTCTCTTCATTCTCATCCTTTTCTTTGGCTTTAACTGATGTTGAGGCATCCTACATTGCGCATAGACAACTTCTAGACCTTTCGCAGATCAAAGATGAGTCTACCTATAACTTAGATACTAGCTTAACTTTTGAAAACACAAGGCTCAAGAGAGCTTATATAGCTCTTCAAGCATGGAAAAAAGCTATGTACTCTGACCCCTTTAACACAACTGTAAATTGGGTTAGTGCAAATGTGTGTGCCTATAACGGTATATTCTGTTCACCGGCACGCGATGATCCCAAATTGAAAGTTGTTTCTGGTGTTTATCTTAACCATGCTGACATAGCTGGGTATTTTCCGGTTGAGCTCGGGCTCTTGACGGATCTCACCTCATTCCACATAAACTCTAACCGATTCTGTGGAATCATCCCGGATAGTTTCTCTAAGCTGCAACATTTGGAAGAGCTTGATATCAACAACAACCGCTTCGTAGGTAAATTTCCAAATGTTGTTCTAGAGTTGAATCACCTTTTTAACTTGGACATCAGAAAAAATAATTTCGAAGGGCCAATTCCAGCAAAACTCTTTGAAAAGAATATTGATGTTTTGCTCTTAACAAACAACAATTTCACATCCAGAATCCCCGATGAATGTGAAAGGAAGTGTGGAAAAATATCGCCTCCACCAACACCATCAAATAGTTATATGCCACCTCCCACATCCAAGCCACCAACATCAACTCCGCCAACACCTACAGCCCAATCATCCCCACCTTCGACTCCATCAAAGAGTTATACTCCACCTCCCACATCAAAACCACCAACTTCAACTCCACCAACCCCATCATCCCAAGCATCACCTCCTCCGACACCATTAAAAAGTTATACCCCACCTCCCACATCCAAACCACCAACATCAACTCCGCCAACTCCTTCATCAAAAGCATCACCTCCTCTGACACCATCAATGAGCTATACTCCACCTCCCACATCCAAGCCCCCAACATCGATTGCGCCAACACCTTCATCCCAAGCATCACCTCCTCCAACACCATTAATGAGTTATACTCCACCAACCACATCAAAGCCACCAACATCAACTCCGCCAACCCTTTCATCACAAGCATCACCTCCTCCGACACCGTCAACAGGTTATAGTCCACATCCCATATCAAAGCCACCAACAACAACTCCGCCAACCCCTTCATCCCAAGCATCACCTCCTCCGACACCATCAACGAGTTACATTCCACCTCCCACATCAAAGCCCCCAACATCAACTCCGCCAACTACTTCATCTGAAGCATCACCTCCTCCGACACCATCAAATCCACCAGCCCCTTCATCCCAATCATCACCACCTCCAGCGCCATCAACAAGTTATACTCCACCTCCTACATCTAAGCCACCACCATCAACTCCTCCAACTCCTTCATCCCAAGCCTCACCTCCTCCAACCCCATCCAAGAGTTATACCCCGCCACCTACGTCAACTCCACCAAGCCCTTCATCTAAAGTATCGCCTCCACCAAAAGATGAAAAAACTTTTATTCCACCTCCCATTTTCAAGCCACCAACTTCAACTCCACCAAGACCTTCATCCAAAGTATCACTTCCACCGGAAGAAGAAAAAACTTATACTCTACCTCCCATTTCCAAGCCACCAACGTCAACTCCACCAAGCCCTTCCCAACAACCATCGCCTCCTCAAGAATATAACACTAATTCTCCACCTCCCATATCCAAGCCACCAACATCAACTCCACCAACCCCTGCTTCCCAAGCATCACCACCACCCACACCATCAAATAGTTATACTCCACCTACCACATTGAAGCCACCAACATCAACGCCGTCAACCCCTACATCACAAGCAACACCACCTCCTACACCATCAAGGAGTTATAATCCACTTCCCATATCAAAGCCACCAACATCAACTCCCCCAACCCCAACATCCCAAGCATCACCTCCTCCGCCACCATCAACGAGTTATATTCCACCTCCCACATCTAAGCCCCCAACACCAACTCCGCCAACTCCTTCATCCCAAGCATCAGCTCCCCCGACACCATTAAAGACTTATACACCACCTCCCACATCAAAACCACCAACATCAACTCCGCCAACCCCTTCATCCCAAGCAACACCTCCTCCGACACCATCAAAGACTTATACTCCTCCTCCCACTTCTAGTCCACCAAGTCACACGCCAAAGCCATCTCATGTCCCGACACCATCTTTGACACCAGTTTCGGATCCTCCTAAACATGCCAAAGTTCCTCCAAGCCCAGCTTCAACACAAACACTAGTTTCGGCTCCTCCTAAACCTGGCAAAGCATCTCCAGGCCCAACTCCAACAGGAACACCAATTTCGACTCCTCCTAAACCTGGGAAAGCATCTCCAAGCCCAACTCCGACTCGAACACCAATTTCGGATCCACCTAAACCTGGCAAAGCATCTCCAAGCCCCACTCCTACTCGAACACCAGTTTCGGCTCCTCCTAAACCTAGCAAAGCATCTCCTGGCCCATCTCCAACTCAAACTCCAGTTTTGGATCCTCCTAAACTTGGCAAAACATCTCCCAGCCCAGCTCCAACTCGAACACCCATTTCATCTCCCCCTAAACCTGTCAAAGAATCTCAAGGCCCATCTCCGGCTCGAACACCAATTCAGCCTCCACAAAAAACTCCTAAGCAATCTCCTGTCCCAACTCCAACTTTAACACCAGTTTCTACTCCTCCTAAACGATCACCAGTCCCGGCCCCGACTCTAGCTCTCAAACAAAGTAATCCACCTCCAAAACCATCCCCAGTCCTAAATCCCATTAAAATACCAAGTTCTCCCCAGAAACCTCCCAAGCAGTCCCCTGTCCTGGCTCCAACTCCAAAACTAAGTTCTCCACCTCAAAAACCTCCTCAGCCATCCCCAGTCCCAGCTCCAGCTAAAACACCAAGTTCACCCCAGAAACCTCCTAAGCAATCTCCAATCGCGACTCCAACTCACATACCAGTTTCAGCACCACCTAATTCGTCTCCAGTCCCGACTCCTACTCGAACACCAATTTCTCCACCTCAGAAACCTCCTAAGTTATCTCCAGTCCCGGTTCCAACTCATACACCAATTTCAACACCTCCTAAACCGTCTCTAGTCCCAACCCCTGATAGAACACCAAATTCTCCACCTCAAAAACCTCCTAAGCCATCTCCAATCCCCGCTCCAACTCAAACACCAGTTTCAACTCCTCCTAAACCGTCTCCAGTCCCAACTCCAACTCGAATACCAAGTTCACCACAGAAGCCTCCTGAGCCATCTCAAGCCCCAACTCCAATTTTGACACCAATTTCTGCGCCTCCTAAACCTACTAAGCTATCCCCAGTCCCAGCTCCAAATTCTACACCGGTTTTAGCTCCTCCTAAGCCATCTCCTGTCCCACCATCGGTTCAATCGCATCCACCGACACCAACTTCTACACCAGTTTCAACTCCTTTTAAACCATCTCCTGTCCCACCACCAATTCAATCACATACACCAATTTTAGCTCCTCCTAAGCCATCTCCTATCCCACCATCTGTGCAATCCCATCCACCAGCACCAACACCCACACGATCTTTAACTCCTCCTCCTCTTCACGCGGTCTCTTTACCACCGCCAGGAAACGATGACTTCATTCTCCCACCAACCGTGGGCTTACAATACTCTTCCCCACCTCCGCCAATGTTCCAAGGCTATTAAATGGTTCACGTAGTAACTTTTATTTTTTATTTTTACCATTGATAGGATATTAAATAGTTAACCAGTAACTTTTTCTTTTATGTACTCGTACCATTGATTTGGACTTGAAATTATATATAGAAACTCGCTCTTCAACAAGAACTTTTATATAATTACTACCATCTTTTTTAACTAACATTTTTATCTAGAAGAAATTTAGGGTTTATTTCTGCAGACAATGTGGTTCCACATGAATGTTCTTGCAATAACAAGCAAATCTCTTATTAGTATTTTGAATAATTAATTTTGACCAATTAGTATAGGTGGCAAAGTTCAACACCACTCACCAACACGACTCGAACATGACACGAGATAAACTGGTTTGGGTTGACCATAAATGGGTTTGGGTCATAAACAAGTTGACACGATTAACCCGTTTACTTAATCGTATCGGGTTAGGATTGAGGGGTTCAACCCATATAACCCATTTATACACGTTTAACTCAATATATTATAATCATCGATATGACCTGAGTTACATGTTTAGACCCAATTACTATAGACAATTAAATCATTTTAACATAAAATCTTACTATGCCTTATGATTTTTACTTAAAACATTTATATTATATTTACTTGATTATGGGTTGTTTGATGTTTGTTTTTTTTTCTTGCTTTAAATATATGGGCTAATTGAGACATATTGTTTTTCAGTATTTATTGTTTGATGGAGTATTAAATGTCACGTTTCAATAAATAGTTCATTAAATAAATTAACACGTGTAACTCGTTTAATAAACGGGTCAGATTAATGTTGAAGGTCTCTGACATGATTATTAAACTAGTCGTATTTGGATTTTGTTTAGTAGAATACCCATAGGTCTACACGACACAATTATGACCCGTGAACACGAATTGGCACCCTTACCAATTTCTTGTTAAGATATGTTGCAACTGAATATCTAACGAAAAAGAAAATATATTCTAAAATAGATGTTTTTTCACAAAGTTTCTTGAGGGAGTAAAAGTAACTTACTTTAATATACTATACATCAATATTAAAAAGGGCAAACTACAATGACCTCCCTTGAGGTTTAGACTATATACAACAAAACTTGAGGTTTGCCATTTTGTTGCAAAGACCCCCCAATGTCAGATTTTGCACTAAATTTACTTATCTACCCTTATTATTATATTATTAAAATATTAAAATATTTAGAAATAACAAATGACCATTTTGCCCACTCTCTATCCCTTTTATATCTCAGAGCGCTTCCACTGTTGCTCAAATTCTCGTCGCCGCTGATGATTGTACGGTGAATGGGATAGACAGAATCGACGGTGAACTGAGGCCCGTGAGCTTGCAGATTGGAAAAAGCTCGACTGTGAGCTTGAGGATTAGGAGAAGCTTAGCTGCGGAGAGAAGTGTGATATGGCCGGCGAATCTGGTGGGTGGTGCAGCGGCGATGACGGACTGGCGAGGATGAAAACGGGCTCAGCTGCGTCGGCTCAGATGTTTCAACCATAATGGACGGTGGGCGGTGGTGACAAATTCACGGCGAGCAAGGATCTGGGCACGGTGATGGCTGCCATGACTGGTTCGGAAGCTCAGCGGCGGTGACGAACTGCCCTCCAAGCACCACCTACTATCGCCACCTCCAACACGCCGACCCGTTTTTACCACCAACCACCATCGCCACCACCACCCAATTTGAGGCCCATGTCACCGCCACCCCCACCACTTCTTCCACCCAATCTTAATCGAACCCATGAATAATACAATCAAACCACGATTAAACCTAATTCGCCGGAATCGCGGCTGATTCATAGTCTCATCATCGGAATCGCGACGGATTCACAGTCCCCACCGCTGTTTTATCCCCATTGCTAGTTACCATCGCATACCACACCGCCTTCTCCCATCCGGACTCGGTCTCTGAGGCCGCTACCTCCCGCGTGTGCAAGAACTTCAAATTAAAAAAAAAAAAAACCCAGAAAGTAACAGTGAATAAAATTAAAAATTACTATAAATTAAAATTAAAAATTAAATTATAGAAATATATACATAGATTTGAATTTGACTCAAGTACCATCTAAACTGACAACCTTCAAATCATTTTCTTGAGTAGCACATAGAAAATGGACATGTACATATATGTATGTAGGTGTGTGTATATAATATATATAGACAGAGAGAATCATGAATCTATATATCTATCTGACCTCGGAATTTAAGAACAAACAGAACTCCGGCGTCGAGCTCTTTGGCAGAGCTAACGGCACTATTTTCTTTATTTCTCGGGAACAGTACATCTTCAGAGTTGGGAGCAAGAGAAGTTTCCATCTCCATATGTGTGAGAGAGAGAGAGACATAGAGAGGTTTATGAACAATAACAGATCTGTTTTTGGGTTTGAGGATAATACGAAAGTGGTGAAGGTGGGCTAGAGAGAGACAATGGTGAGTCAGTTTAAGGGTACTTTGGTCCATTTAACATTAATTTTATTGTCATTTGTTTATATTACAAGGGTAATAATGTCTTTTTACATTGTTGATGGGCATTTTAGTCACTTCAAACTAATTTTTTGATAAAAAAATATTATTTTGTATATGGAGGGGAGGTCATTGCAAAATAGTGAAAATCTCAGGGGGTTACATTGTAACAAAATGGCAAATTTCAGGTTTAATTGCAATTAGTCCAAACCTTAGGGGAGGTCATTGCAGTTTGCCCTATTTAAAATTAATGCCAAAATATTTAACATGTATATATTGTTAACAACCATCCACTCCAAAAGCTTAAGCTTTTGTGAGGTTTAAACTCAAGACATTTGGCTCTGTACCATGTTAAACAATCAAATACCCTAAAAGCTCAAGCTCGTAAAGAGGGTGTAACTTAAATATATAAATCCTTCAACATATTTAAAAATATAAACTCGTACATGGTACATATATGTTATCTAGACACATATACACAAATTTAATTACATGAGTATATGCATTTACATAAATATTTTAATATAAGTGCATATAAGCAATTACATAAATTTTTCAATGTATGCTTACATACATTTACGCCTTCATAACAATTTGTATCTTTTGTATGCATGCTTATATAAATGATTTCCCAAATATTTGTAAATTAGGTTTCAGGTTTCAACTAAAAATCACAAAATAAGAAGCAAATTGTTTCTTTTATAAATAATTTAATATAAAGAAGAATTTCTTATGTAATATGTTGAAAGAAGCAGACGTAAGCTAAGCTAAGCTCAATCTAAGTTCAATCACAAAATATTATGAGATGTTTAGGGAGCTATGTCGGTTAGCCCAGGTGATCCTGTTTTTTATCGAGGAGAATTCTATATAGACTAGACGGACTTAGTTGGACTGGTTGGGCACCTCCAGAATTCTGCAATCTGAAAAAATTTGAGTCATATTCATGATATTCTAACAGTCTAGATTACCGACAAGCTGTCCTTTTCTTCGCAACTTTAAAATTGTCTTGCGTATAAATTTCTTACTCCAAAATAATTTTATAGTTCACTTTCAGGTTCTATTAAAAGCACTAACACTAAATTCTAGTTGGTCAGAAACTTGAGTACATTCAAGTTGGAGCGTCGGCGGCCACTGAATTTTTATTTATTTATTTTGAACAATTATAATTTTGATACATTTTTAGTACTGCTTTCACTAAATTTTATATTAAGCACTCCTATTATGGTAGTTTGGAAGTACTCTTTTTTAAGGTTGCGCCCTCTCAAATAATTTTCTGGCTCTGTCATTATAGTTGGTCTAACTTCTCCACCACAGTTATTCTATTTTCCGGTCTAATGTTGCTAATCTAGAGGTGGCAGACACTATGGTGGTTAGGGAAGGGTTGCGACTCCTCGTGCATTGAAGTTATGGAGATGCAGATGTTAAATCTCCTGGTACTGCGTTGGACATTCTACAACATTTTTTCTTCACTTACATTTTCAGATGCTCGTGTACTGAGTAAATGGACTCTTTAACTCATAGAGCTGCTAACTTCTAGTGGGACGGTTTGGTTGAGTTGGCTTCCGAATGTAATTTAAATTTTTTTATGTTCAAGAAAAATGAAGACATGTTCTCTATGTATCACTATTGATTCAAACCTTCAAACCCTAAAACAATGCAAACTAATTTGAAAACTGAACTCTTTTACTATCTTCTGCTCCTGGTAATGGGTGAAAGGATAAAATTAATAATAATAATAGTTTTAATAATAATAATAATGATAACTAGGAAAATAAAAATAATAATAATGGGTGCAGCAATGATGTTCTCATAACTATACACTTCTAGCTTCGAGAAATTATTACATGATCTAGTCCCGGCCAATAACAAACTGCCAAGCAAAATACTCAACAAAGTGGACGTATTTGTTTACATGACAGTATGTAATTGACCGAGAGCATATGATCCAGACCATGTAATAATTTTTCTCTAGCTCCCATTTAAAGTTCTGATTACAAAAATGTCGAAATTGAAAATTCACAGGACAATCATGACACCTGGTTCCAACTATCTTCAATAATTTGATAAAAATCAAAATTCAGCTCGAGTATCATCCATTAGGATTCTCATTATCAAAACTGATCTATTGCCACTGAAATTTTTTTATTTATAATGAACAACTTTAATACGTAAAAATCAATATTAAAAATACCACATAAATTTTATATGTAAAAAATTAGTATAATCACATGAAGCATTATAATATAAATAAATAAAACATGTGTAAATTCATAAATTCAATCGAAAACATACCTGGTGTATGAAACGATGTTTTTAACAAATCTCCAATTAAAGGAGAATTGAATCTGCACATAGGCCCACGACCAGAAAGGTTGAAAATGAAATTACATTTTGAAAATCACTCCACAATTTATAGAGTACAATAGGTTACAACTTTTGACTCTAAAAGGTACCTTTATTATATTATATAGTACGTAGTATATGACTTTTTGATTAATAGGTGTAACTTTTAGTTTCCAAAAGTCACATTTGAAGAGTTTAACTATTTTCATAAGGTTACAATAGGAAACATTCTATGACATATGTTATTTACGGATGACATAATATTATATAAATAAATACTCCTAAAGAAGACTTGGCAACAAGATTAATTAGAAATACGGAGAAAGGTGTTAGAATCATGAGGCCTAAAATTAGTAAGATTAAAAAAGAATATATAGAGTGTTAAGTTCGATAAAGTAACAAACCATGAAAATATAAATATTATAATCTAAGATCAAATATTTAATCAAAAAAAACTATGGATCAATATTACAAAGAGATGCGTAGATAGATGGTAATATAGTAAGTAAGATTGGAGTAGAGTGGACAACAGAGGAAAGCAAAGTGTCCTTTGTGACAAAGAAATACCAAATAAATCAAAAGAAAATTTCTATAGAACAGTTACTAGGCTAGAAATGTTGAATGACATCGAAAAAGACAAAATACATCACATTAATATAGCAAAAATGAGGATATTTTGGATGATAGAAGTAACTAAAAAAAAGATGAAATAAATAATCAGCCATCGAGGGGAACATCACGTATAGCACTTATAGATGACAATATATATATATATATATATATATATATATATATAGGTGGTATGGTCATATTCAACGTAAATCGATGCACTGGTTAAAAAAGGAAGGGTTGTTATACTAGAAGGTAAGTAACAAAGAGACTGATCAAAAACTTACGTGGGATGAAATAATTATTTTCAAAAATTAACTCAAGAGAAGTATAGTGTATGATAGTAAATAATGAAAAAAGGGAAATCCCGTGGTCAATCTCATCCATATGAAATAAAGGCAATGATGATGATTATGAAAAATTGTGTCCGAAACTGAAGGTTTAGATGATGTGGTAAACCAAAAGCAAAAAGAGGAAAATTTTAAAATAAATATTTTTCGCTAAACAATAAAGTCAAAATCTTAAAAGCAAAACTTACCATTGATAGAAACAGAGTGCAAGAGTAAGAGGAAAGAAAAAAATAAAAATTATCAATTTCTTTAGAACAAACTATGTATAAAGAAAAAACCAAAAAAAAATTGATAATTTTTCTTCTACGAATTTTTTCTTTTTTTTTCCCCGATAATTTCATTGGGTCCAATTATTCGAGGCAAGCTATGTTAAAAGGTGAAACTGGGATTTTAACAAAACAAATTCGTTAAAGGAATACCCTGTCATAAATAACTTTTCACTTTGTCAGACAAATCTTTGCTGGCATTGTCCGTGAAATTAGGAGCACCTTCAAATTTTATGCAGTACATTAAACAAATTGGTTAAAAATGGAAGCTACTATCTGTGGTCACTCAACCACCATCCTTCCACCACCATATAAGACCCTCCACTGGATGCATAGATCATAGCAAGCAGCAGCCTTGGAATAATCCAAGGTGGTGCTTTGGCATTGCTAACCATCGAAACATGAAGGTCTCAGCCTACTTTCTTATTCTCTCTCTTCTGTTCTCTTCATTCTCATCCTTTTCTTTGGCTTTAACTGATGTTGAGGCATCCTACATTGCACATAGACAACTTCTAGACCTTTCGCAGATCAAAGATGAGTCTGCCTATAACCTAGATGCTAGCTTAACTTTTGAAAACACGAGGCTCAAGAGAGCTTATATAGCTCTTCAAGCATGGAAAAAAGCTATGTACTCTGACCCCTTTAACACAACTGTAAATTGGGTTGGTGCAAACGTGTGTGCCTATAACGGTATATTCTGTTCACCGGCACGCGATGATCCCAAATTGAAAGTTGTTTCTGGTGTTTATCTTAACCATGCTGACATAGCTGGGTATTTTCCGGTTGAGCTCGGGCTCTTGACTGATCTCACCTCATTCCACATAAACTCTAACCGGTTCTGTGGAATCATCCCAGATAGTTTCTCTAAGCTGCAACATTTGGAAGAGCTTGATATCAACAACAACCGCTTCGTAGGTAAATTTCCAAATGCTGTTCTAGAGTTGAATCACCTTTTTAACGTGGACATCAGAAACAATAATTTCGAAGGGCCAATTCCAGCAAAACTCTTTGAAAAGAATATTGAAGTTTTGCTCTTGACAAACAACAATTTCACATCCAGAATCCCTGATGAATGTGAATGGAAGTGTGGAAAAATATCACCTCCTCCTACACCATCAAATAGTTATGTGCCACCTCCCACATTCAAACCACCAACATCAACTCCGCCAACACCTACAGCCCAATCATCCCCACCTCCGACTCCATCAAAGAGTTATACTCCACCTCCCACATCAAAACCACCAACTTCAACTCCACCAACCCCTTCATCCCAAGCATCACCTCCTCCGACACCATCAAAGAGTTATACTTCACCTCCCACATCCAAGCCACCAACATCAACTCCGCCAACTCCTTCATCAAAAGCATCACCTCCTCTCACACCAACAATGAGCTATACTCCACCTCCCACATCCAAGCCCCCAACATCAGTTCCACCAACTCCTTCATCCCAAGTATCACCTCCTCCGACCCCATCAATGAGTTATACTCCACCACCCACATCAAAGCCACCAACATCAACTCCGCCAACCCCTTCATCACAAGCATCACCTCCTCCGACACCGTTAATGGGTTATAGTCCACCACCCACATCAAAGCCACCAACATCAACTCCGCCAACCCATTCATCCCAAGCATCACCTCCTCCGACACCGTCAACGGGTTACATTCCACCTCCCACATCAATGCCCCCAACATCAACTCCACCAACTCCTTCATCTGAAGCATCACCTCCTCCGACTCCATCAAATCCACCAGCCTCTTCATCCCAATCATCACCACCTCCGACGCCATCAACAAGCTATACTCCACCTCCCACATCCAAGCCACCATCATCAACTCCACCAACTCCTTCATCCCAAGCCTCACCTCCTCCAACCCCATCCAAGAGTTATACCCCGCCACCTACGTCAACTCCACCAAGCCCTTCATCCAAAATATCGCCTCCACCGGAAGAAGAAAAAACTTATACTCCACCTCCCATTTTCAAGCCACCAACGTCAACTCCACCAAGCCCTTCAGAACAACCATCGCCTCCTCCTCAAGACTATAACACTAACTCTCCACCTCCCACATCCAAGCCACCAACATTAGCTCCGTTGACCCCTGCTTCCCAAACATCACCTCCACCCACACCATCAAATAGTTATACTCCACCTACCACATCGAAGCCACCAACATCAACTCCGTCAACCCCTACATCCCAAGCATCACCATCTCCTACACCATCAAGGAGTTATAATCCACCTCCAATATCAAAGCCACCAACATCAACTCCCCCAACCCCAATATCCCAAGCATCACCTCCTCCACCACCATCAACGAGTTATTCTCCACCTCCCACATCTAAGCCCCCAACACCAACTCCACCAACTCCTTCATCCCAAGCATTAGCTCCTCCGACACCATCAAAAACTTATACACCACCTCCCACATCAAAACCACCAACATCAACTCCGCTAACCCCTTCATCCCAAACAACACCTCCTCCGACACCATCAAAAACTTATACTCCTCCTCCCACTTCTAATCCACCAAGTCACACACCAAAGCCATCTCATGTCCCGACACCATCATTGACACCAGTTTCGGCTCCTCCTAAACCAGCCAAAGTTCCTCCAAGCCCAGCTCCAACACAAACACTAATTTCGGCTCCTCCTAAACCTGGCAAAGCATCTCAAGGCCCAGCTCCAACAGGAACACCAATTTTGACTCCTCCTAAACCTGGGAAAGCATCTTCAAGCCCAGCTCCATCTCGAACACCAATTCCGGCTCCACCTAAACCTGGCAAAGCATCTCCAAGCCCCACTCCAACTCGAACACCAATTTCGGCTCCTCCTAAACCTAGCAAAGCATCTCCAGGCCCATCTCCGACTCAAACACCAGTTTCAGATCCACCTAAACCTGGCAAAGCATCTCCCAGCCTAGCTCCAACTCGAACACCCATTTCATCTCCCCCTAAACCTATCAAAGAATCTTCAGGCCCATCTCCGGCTCAAACTCCAATTCAGCCTCCACAAAAAACTCCCAAGCCATCTCCTGTCCCAACTCTGACTTTAACACCTGTTTCTACTCCTCCTAAACGATCACCAGTCCCGGCTCCAACTCCGGCTCCCAAACAAAGTTATCAACCTCAAAAACCTCCACAACCATCCCCAGTACCAACTCCCGCTAAAACACCAAGTTCTCCCCAGAAACCTCCTAAGCAATCCCCTGTCCCGGCTCCGGCTCCGGCTCCAAAACTAAGTTCTCCACCTCAAAAACCTACTCAGCCATCCCCAGTCCCAACTCCAACTAAAACACCAAGTTCACCCCAGAAACCTCCTAAGCCATCTCCAGTCCCCACTCCGACTCACACACCAGTTTCAGCACCGCCTAATTCGTCTCCAATCCCGACTCCTACTCGAACACCAATTTCTCCACCTCAGAAACCTCCTAAGCCATCTCCAGTCCCGGATCCGACTCATACACCAATTTCAACACCTCTGAAACCGTCTCTAGTCCCAACCCCTACTCGAACACCAAATTCTCCACCTCAAAAACCTCCTAAGCCATCTCCAATCCCCGCTCCGACTCAAACACCAGTTTCAGCTCCTCCTAAATCGTCTCCAGTCCCAACTTCAACTCGAATACCAAGTTCACCACAGAAGCCTCCTAAGCCATCTCCAGCCCCAACTCCAGTTTTGACACTAATTTTTGTGCCTCCTAAACCCACTAAGCCATCTCCAGTCCCAGCTCCAACTTCTACACCGGTTTCAGCTCCTCCTAAGCCATCTCCTGTCCCACCACCGGTTCAATCGCATCCACCGGCACCAACTTCTACACCAGTTTCAACTCCTTTTAAACAATCTCCTGTCCCACCACCAATTCAATCACATACACCAGTTTTAGCTCCTCCTAAGCCATCTCATATCCCACCATCTGTGCAATCGCATCCACCAGCACCAACACCCGCACGATCTTTAACTCCTCCTCCTACTCACACGGTCTCTTTACCACCGCCAGGAAATGATGACTTCATTCTCCCACCAACCGTGGGCTTACAATACTCTTCCCCACCTCCGCCAATGTTCCAAGGCTATTAAATGGCTCACTTAGAAACTTTTGTTTTTTATTTTTACCATTGATAGGATATTAAATAGTTAACCAGTAACTTTTTCTTTTATGTACTTGTACCATTGATTTAAACTTCAAATTATATGCAGAAACATGCTCTTCAACAAGAGTTTTTATATAATTGCTACCATTTTTTTTTAACTAACATTTTTATCTATAAGAAATTTAGGGTTTATTTCTGCAGACAATGGGGTTCCACGTGAATGTTCTTGCAATAACAAGCGAATATCTTATTAGTATTTTAAATAATTAATTTTGACCAATTAGTATGGATGGCAAAGTTCAACACCACCCGTCAGCACGACATGAGATAAACGGGTTTGGGTTGTACTTAAATGGGTTTGGGTCATAAACGAGTTGACACGATTAACCCGTTTACTTAATCGTGTTGGGTTAGGATTGAGGGATTCAACCCGCATAATCTGTTTATACACGTTTAACTCAACATATTATAATCGTCAATATGACATGAGTAACATGTTACATGTTTAGACCCAATTACTATAGACAATTAAGTCATTTTAACATAAATCCTGACTACGCCTTATGATTTTTACTTAAAACATTTGTATTCTATTTACTTGATTATGGGTTCTTTGATTTTTTTTTTTTCTTGCTTTGAATATTTGGGCTAATTGAGACATTGTTTTTCAATATTTATTGTTTGATGGAGTATTAACTGTCTCGTTTCAATAAATAGTTCATTAAATAAGTTAACACGTGTAACTCGTTTAATAAACGGGTCGGGTTAGTGTTGAGGTCTCTGACACGATTATTAAACAGGTCGTGTTTGAATTTTGTTTAGTAGAATACCCTTGGGTCTACATGACACAATTATGACCCACGAACACGAATTGCCACCACCCTTACCAATTTGTTGATAAAATGTGTTGCAACTGAATATCTGACAAAAAAGATTTCCTGAAAAATATATTCTAAAATAGATGTTTTTCACAAAGTTTCTTGAGGGAGTAAAAGTAACTTACTTTAATACACTATACAACAATATTTAAAATTAATGACAAAATATTTAACATGTATATATTGTTAACAACCATCCACTCCAAAAGCTTAAGCTTTGGTGAGATTTAAACTAGACCTTTAGCTCTGTACCATGTTAAACTGCCATTAACCCTAAAAGCTCAAGCTCTTAAAGAGGGTGTAACTTACATGTGTATAAATCCTTCAACATATATATAAATATAAACTCGTACATGGTACATATATGTTATTTAGACACATATACACAAATTTAATTACATGAGTATATGCATATACATAAATATTTTAATATAAGTGCATATAAGCAGTTACATAAATTTTTCAATGTATGCTTACATACATTTACACCTTTATAACAATTTGTATCTTTTGTATGCATGCTTATATAAATGATTTTTCAAATATTTGTAAGTTAGGTTCCAGGTTTCAACTAAAAATCACAAAATAAGAAACAAATCGTTTCTTTTATAAATAATTTAATATAAAGAAGAATTTCTTATGTAATATGTCGAAAAAAGCAAACGTCAGCTAAGCTCAATCTAAGTTCAATCACAAAACGTTATGAGATGTTTAGGGAGCTATATCCATTAGCCCAGGTGATCATGTTTTTCATCAAGGAGAATTTTATATAGACCAGACGGACTTAATTGGACTGGATGGGCTCCTCCAGAGTTCTGCAATCTGATAAAATTTGAGTCATATTCTAATAGTCTAGATTAACGACAAGTTGTCCTTTTCTTCGCAACTTTAAAATTATCTTGTGTATAGGCCTCAGTTGTCACCAGTGGTCGAGGTGGATTCTGTGGAGTAGGCGAGTGATTTGGATGGTTCTGGGTTTGGGGTTGTTGGGCCGTCAGAAAGGGATGGGGTGGTATATTTGTTTGGTGACAGGGGCTTTGATTGTCTTTGTGGCGGGCAAGCTGAGGCTTGTTCGGATTTTCTTTCCTCTTCTCGGCAAAATGATTCAGCAGGGGAGGTGTTGGGGAGACGGGTCAAGCCCTCTTTGGGTGGAACGGAAGATTTGGGTTCACCTATGGTTAGTGGTCCAGTGACATCTCTGAAGGTTACTGTGCCAGAACTGTTGACTATTTGTGTTGGCAAGGATATCCGTATTTCTCTTAGCGATGAATCAGCCTCTTTATTGATTAAGGAGCTGCAAAAGCACAGGTGTTTACCAGATTCTGAACCCACTGTTGATTGCATTCTTGACCCCTTCGTACAGGATGGAGATTTGGATTGTGGTGTGGACTGGTTGTCGCATTGTGAGGAGGCGGAGGAGGTCGAGGGAGGTGATGATGATGGCAATAGGGTAGATCAGGGCATTTCTCTCGATATGATCTTATGGGAGGAGAAGAGTCTCGATTGTTTGGGGTGGTGGATCCTCTGGCAGTTATGCATCCAGAGGGCGTGGAAAGTATGTTGAGTAGGCAGGAAGGTGTGGATTCTGGTAAGGATTGGGTCATGGCTAATATCGGGGCCACTAACGAACTGTTGGGTGTCTTTTGTGGGGGCAACCGGGATCAAGCCTTGGCGATTCTTCGGGCTACAATGGAGGGGAAAGAAGGGGAGATGATTCAGTTTTCTAGAAGGAGGATCAGGAAAAAGAAGATCCTTTCGCCTTGGAGAGGGGAGAGGGAGCAGAGGAATCTCTGTTCAGATGTGAACTACGATAGGACGCTTGGGGGGAGAAGGAGAGGGGCAGTGATAAGGGGGAGGGAGGGGTAAGGGAGTGGTGGGGGTGCATGTTTCCTCATGAAACTACAACTTTTGTCTTGGAATGTCCGAGGTTTCAATGACCTGGGCAAGCGAAAGGTGGTGAAGATGGCTGTGAGGAAATGGGGGGTTCATTTGGTGTGCCTTCAAGAAACAAAGATTGACTCTATGTCTGATAGGGTGGTCAAGAACTTGTGGGGTAATCAGTTTGTCGAGTGGAAGGCGCTGGACTCTGTGGGGACCTCTGGCAGTGTCCTTCTTATGTGGGATAGAAGATGGATGGCTAAGGCAAATGTTTGTAAAGGGCGCTCTTCTTTGTCTTGTGCTTTTCTGATAGAAGAGGATGGTTTCCATTAGGCTTTTTCTGGGGTGTACGGGCCGGTGGATGATTGTGAGAGGGATGGGATGTGGGAGGAGTTGAGTGAGGTGAAGGGGAGGTGGTCTCTTCCCTGGTGTGTGGCTGGAGACTTCAATGTGCTTAGATCCCCGTCAGAAAGATCTACAGGGGGTCCGTGGACGCAGGCTATGATGCATTTCTCTGACTTTATTGATGGTCACCAGCTCATTGAACTTCTTTTAAAGGGAGCCTCTTTTACTTGGTCCAGTGGAAAAGAAGCGCCAACTCTTTCTCGTCTGGATCGGTTCTTGGTCTCTGGAGATTGGGAGGACGAGTTCCTGGATGCTGTCCAGGCTATGTTGGCTAGGGTGAAGTTGGACCATATTCCTTTGGTTTTGGACTGTGGAGGTTTGAGATCTCGTTGCACTCTTTTCAGATTTGAGAATATGTGGCTTTGAGCGGAGAATTTCGAGGGGACTGTGCATTCTTGGTGGGAGGAGGATCTAGTGATGGGTACGGCAAGTTTTATTTTAGCAGGAAAGCTTCGACTTCTGAAAAATAAACTCAAAAGGTGGAATAAGGAGGTGTTTGGGAATTTGGTGTGGAAAAAGAATAGGGTCTTGGTTGATATTGCTGAGATTAATAGATTGGAAGGGGAGGGTGCTCTTCTCGAGTCTCGACGGGTTAGGAGAGCAGCTTGTCAGGCAGAATGTGTTGAGATTGCTGTTTTGGAGGAAATCTCGTGGCGTCAAAAATCTCGGGCCTTGTGGCTCAAAGAGGGTGACCGTAATACCAAGTTTTTACATAGAACTGTTAATGCTTATAAGAGGGGCAATCATATTGGGCGGTTGTGTGTGGATGGTACGGTTTTGACTACGGAGGAGGGGTTCGAAGCAATATTGTTTCTTTCTATCAAAGGCTCTATTCTGAGCCTCTTAAATGGAGGCAACGGCTGGATGGTCTTCATTTTGATGCCATTTCTGAGGTGGAAAGGGATGGGTTGGAGAATCCTTTTTCGGAGGAGGAGGTGCCGAGGGCTCTGAAGAGTTGTAATGAAGACAAGGCTCCAGGCCCAGATGGTTTCACAATGAGATTTTTGTTAGAAAGCTGGAAGGTGGTCAGACATGAGGTTTTGGGAACCTTTCTTGAGTTTCACTCTACCGGGAGGTTCGAAAAATCGTTGAATGCATCCTTTATTGCCCTTATTCCTAAGAAGGGAAGTGCTTCTAACATCAATGACTTTAGACCAATCAGTCTGATCGGGTGTATATGCAAGCTTATCAATAAAGTTATTGCGCTTAGATTGAGGGTGGTTCTGGATAGGGTCATTTCTGAGTCTCAGAATGCGTTCATTGGGGGTAGACAAATTTTGGATTCCGCTCTCATTGCCAATGGATTCTAGACTCAACAGCAGTGGTGTTCCGAGTGTTCTATGCAAGCTGGATATCGAGAAAGCCTATGATCATATTTGTTGGAATTTTCTGTTTTATCTATTAAAGAGGATGGGTTTTGGGGAGAGATGGAGGAAATGGATTGTCACATGTGTTTCCTCTGTTCGATTTTCGGTGTTGGTGAATGGTTCTCCTTCGGGGTTTTTCGGCAGTTCTCGTGGCCTGAGGCAGGGGTACCCTCTCTCCCCTTTTTTGTTCATTATTGTTATGGAGGCCCTCAGTAGGTTGATGAGAAGGGTTGTGGACTCGGGGTTAATTAGGGGCTTCAAGATTGGCCCTACTTCAGTTCAGCAGATGAAGATTTCCCACCTGCTTTTTGCGGACGACACTCTTGTTTTCTGCGAGGCAGAGGCGTCCCAGTTGCGGTATCTAAGATGTGTTCTGGTTCGCTTTCAAGCTGTTTCGGGTTTGAAAGTCAACGTGGGAAAGAGTGTGCTCGTTCCAGTGGGGGAGGTTCAGGAGGTGG